CTCTCTCTCTCAAATAAATATATATATTTTTAAAGATTTTTATTTATTTATTCATGAGAGACACGCACACAGAGGCAGAGACACAGGCAGAGGGAGAAGCAGGCTCCATGCAGGGAGTCTGATATGGGACTCGATCCTGGGACTCCAGGATCACACCCTGGCTGGAAGGCAGGTGCTAAACCGCTGAACCACCCAGGGATTCCTCTCAAATAAATAAATCTTAAAAAAAAAAAATCAGAGGGGCACCTGGGTGGTGCAGCCAGTTAGGTGTCTGACTCTAGGTTTTGACTTAGTTCATGATCTCAGGGTTGTGGGACTGAGCCCTGTGTCAGGCTCTTAGCTCAGCATGGAATCTGCTTGAGATTCTCTCTCTCCCTCTGCGCCTTCTGCTCAGGCTCGAGCTCTCTCTGAAATGAATAAATAAATCTTAAAAAAAAATCAGATAAATGAGTTGATGACTAGTGATGGTGAGTACATTTACATATTATTGGCCAGTTGAACATTCACTCTTTTGGAGTGATTGAGTTATTTGCCCATTTTAAAAATTTATTTATTTATTTATTTTTAAAGTTTTTATTTATTTATTCATAGAGACACAGAGAGAGAGAGAGGGGCAGAGGCACAGGCAGAGGGAGAAGCAGGCTCCATGTAGAGAGCCCGACGTGGGACTCTATCCAGTGTCCCCAGGATCAAACCCCGGGCTGCAGGTGGCGCTAAACCGCTGTGCCACCAGGGCTGCCCATGCCTATTTTTTTTTTTTAAGATTTATTTATTTATTCATGATAGACAGAGAGAGAGAGAGAGAGGCAGAGACACAGGCAGAGGGAGAAGCAGGCTCCATGCCGGGAGCCCGAAGCGGGACTCGATCCTGGGACTCCAGGATCGCACCCTGGGCCAGAAGCAGGCGCCAAACCGCTGAGCCACCCAGGGATCTCCTGATTTGCCCATTTTAAAAAAAAAATTTTAATTTTTATTTATTTATGATAGTCACACACAAAGAGAGAGGCAGAGACACAGGCAGAGGGAGAAGCAGGCTCCATGCACTGGGAGCCCGATGTGGGTGGGATTCGATCCCGGGTCTCCAGGATCGCGCCCTGGGCCAAAGGCAGGCGCTAAACCGCTGTGCCACCCAGGGATCCCATGATTTGCCCATTTTTAAGCTGCATTTAAAAATATATATATTTTAATTTTTTATTCATGAGAGACACACACAGGCAGAGACACAGGCAGAGGCAGAAGCAGGCTCTATGCAGGGATCCCGATGTGGGACTCGATCCCCGGCCTCCAGGGTCACACCCTGAGCCGAAGGCAGACTCTCAACTGCTAAGCCACCCAGGCATCCCTGAACAAAAGTTCTTAATTTTAATGAACAATTCATCCATATTTTATGTGTAGCTCTTGTGTGTGTGCTCTTTAGGAAATCTTTCCTCTTTCAAAGGTATGAAGGTATTCTTTTATGTCTTCTAGAAGCTTGGTTGATAAGTAGCTTTCGTATATAACTGTGTGATCCATCTTGAGTTAATTGTATGTGATGGTGTGAGGTAAGGGTTCAATGTTCATTTGTCCTTCATGGATCTCCAGTTAATGCAGCATCATTTCTTGCAAGACCACCATCCTCTCTCCTCCACTGGAGATCCGAAGTAGATGGATCCCACATTCCCCGCCCCCCCAAATTAGATGTAGATCTGCTCTTTGTTGTTGTTGTGTTTTTTTAAGGTTTTATTTATTTGACAGAAAGAGGGCACAAGCAGGAGGTGTGGCAGGCAGAGGGAAAGAGAGAAGCAGGCTCTATGCTAAGCAGGGAGACCAATGTGGGGTTCGATCCCAGGACCTAGAGATTATGACCTGACCTGAAGGCAGACACTTAACTGCTTGAGCCACCCAGGTGCCCCAGTTTTGCTTTTTAAAAAAAAATTTAAAATTTTTTCCCACCCAAAAAAAAAAATTTTTTTTTAAAAGAATTCACAATGAATGATGTCACCTGGACCTGGACTTTTACCTGTTGAAAAGTTTAAAATCATGGATTAAAATTGTTAAATCACTATAGGACTACTCCAATTTTTTATTTCTTGTGTCAGTTTTGGAAGGCTGCATCTCCCAGGCATTTGTCCAGTTCATTTAAATTTCAGATGCGCTGCTATATTTTTCATACTATCTGCCTACCGTCTTTTAACAATAGGGTCTGTCTTATTTTACCTCCTCACAACACTTTCACAGTCTATTTCTTTTTTTTTTTATTTAGACACTGATAGTGGTCTCTCTCCCCTTGTTAGAACCCGGGCTCCTTGAAGACAGGGACTTCTGTCTGTCTTGTTCGCTGCTGTGTGCCTAGAAGGGTGTCTGGCACGTGGTTACTGATGCCCCGTATGTGTCTGCTGTAGGAAGGAATGGGTGAGAGGTGGATACCGTCACTGTAGATTGGTGGGGTCTCTATCCCCTTAGGTCAGTCCCTTTACATTTCCTACTGTATTCTGCAGGCTCAGCACAGTGCAGGGCACATGGTGGGACCTACTGGGTATAGTGGAAGGAATGGAGGCTTCTGTATGTCCGTATCTGGCCTTCACTAGATCTGGCCCTAGGGGTTCATGGGCTTGGGGCTCAGGTCTGTCTGCCTGTTTGTCTGCAGAGCCACCCTCCATGCGCCTGAAGGCCCGACCCGGCAGCCCTGGCTTTTCTGTGCTCACCTGCAGTGCCTTCTCCTTCTACCCACCGGAGCTACAACTACGATTCCTCCGGAATGGCCTGGCAGCTGGCTCTGGTGAAGGGGACTTTGGCCCCAATGGCGACGGCTCCTTCCATGCCTGGTCTTCACTGACAGTGAAGAGTGGCGACGAGCACCACTACCGCTGCCTGGTGCAGCATGCAGGGCTGCCACAGCCCCTCACTGTGGAGCTGGGTGAGGTCCTGCTGAGTGATGACATCTCCTGTTTCTGGTTGCCTTTCATCCTTCTTGGGTCTGACCACCTTCCACCCCACTGCTGCTGGTCCTCCTTGAGTCTGCCTGCCTTCCATCCTGCTGCTGCCAGCCTCACTGAGTCTGACCAACCATTAACTGTGGAAAGTCCTCCCTAAATTTCACCACTTTCCCTGCTGCTGCTGCTGCTGCTGCTACTATTCTGATCATTCGTTGTCTGCTGCTGCCGGTTGTCACTAAGACTGACCACTGAATGGCTCAGCTAGCCAGTCCCCTACGATCTGACCTACTGCTCTGTGCCCGCCCTTCCTCTCCGGAGTCAGAATACCTTGCACCCTGCTGCTACAGGTCCCTTGGCTAGTGTGACTGAGACTCATCTTGCTGTGGCTGGTTCTTCTAAGCAACATGGGGGCATTCTGCACAGACCCAGAACATCTGCTGATGGGCTTTCCCTCTGCCCCCACCCATTCCCCAGAACCTGATCTTGGGAATTTCTGAGGCTGGGAGGGACTGACCACCCCCAGTCTCCTGCCCTGACTCAGATGGGCTGGGCAGTCCCTTCAGCATCTCACATCATTCTCTGGCCACAGAATCACCAGCCAAATCCTCGGTGCCAGTGGTTGGAATCGTCATTGGCTTCTTGCTGCTCACGGCAGTGGCTGTGGGAGGAGCTCTGCTGTGGAGGAGGATGAGAAGGGGGCTGCCAGGTGCGGAGCAGGAAGAGGGAAAGAACTGGAAACCTGCAAAGAGAGGGAGACACAGACCTGGGGGTGGGTGGCACATCCAGACCAGAAAAGGACAGAGATGCAGAGAGGTGGGGGACTGGAGGGATGAAACAGAGACTCAGAGGGGGACAGAAGCCTTGGAGTAGGACAGAGACTGGGAAAGACAGGCCCTCTCATGGAGACAGGTGTGGGGGAGAGGCAGTCAGGAACCCAGAGGATTTCAGATTCTGATGACCCCCCCTTCCTCTTTCCTCAGCCCCTTGGATGTCTCTCCGTGGGGATGATGTAGGGGCCCTCCTGCCCACTCCTGGCGTGCCCAAGGATGCTGACTCTTAGGATATAAATGCATTCTCAGCAGCTGCCTGATGATCATCCCCTATCCTGGCTACTATCAGCTAATGTAGTCAGTCTCCTTTCATGCTGTGAGACCTCCTGGAATCCTGGTATTTCTGAGCCTCCGGAAAGAGTCCTGGGCCCAATGACCTTCTGGATTTCTCCTGTGGTCTGCCTCAGTTTCCCCTCCTGATGATCATGGCTCTTTTCCACCTCCACATATAAACACGAGTTTGGGCCCGAATTATTGTGTTCTTATCATTTCAACTTTTAGGCAGGGGGCAGTAGGACAACAAGTGGGGGGAAGGAATAGCTAAATCCTGAGCTTCAGATCTCTCCAGAGGCTAACATATTGCCGTCTGGGAATATGCCAGTTTTGTATACCAAGTCCCGTCTTTTTCATTCGTAAGCTTCACAGATATTTACCGAATGCCTACACTGTGCCACGCATTTTGAGGAATTCCTGGCTGGAGTCTGAACTGACTCCTTGGGTGGAGCGGAAGAGAAGCACTGTTCCCTTGAGGGAAGGAGATGCCTGGCCCTTGGTTCCCGTCTTTCTTAAAACCATGCTGACAAAGAGAAAGATAAAAATACACCTCCCCAGCTGCCTGGCTGGCTCAGTCAGAAAAGCATGGGACTCTTGATCTTGGGGTCCTGAGCTCCAGCTCCACCTTCAGTGTAGAGATTACTTAAATAAATAAACTTAGAAAACAAAAAAAAATCTCCCCCCTCCAAAAAAAAAAAACAACACCCAAAACACCTCCCAAGACGCTTCGGAAATAGAACTGCTGGAGGTGGTCGGTGGTCTGCAGGGCGCTCGGATGCCTGCCGGGAGTTGTAGTTCTGGCATCCGCGGCTCTCCGGGGCCTCCCACCCGCCTACCGGGGGAAGGGGCGGGCGGAACCTCGGGGGCCGCGCTCTTCTCTGTGGACGTGGCGTGGGGAGCCCGCCGCCCGCCCGGAGGTCACCGGCCCCGCCCCCTGGGGGTCCTCTTGAGCTCTCATTGGCTGGGGGCGGGGCCTCTGCGCTGCTGGAGGCGGGGCCTAGCTGGACCGCAGCCAAATTGGGCATCTTTTTCGGAGAACGTAGAGCCGCCTATGTAGAGCGAAGTGAAGCTGGATAAACTGGTAAAGGGAGGCCAGGGCGGGTGGCTTGTCCCGGGAGGACGGCTCGGGTTCTGTCGGGTCGATAAATTGGGTCCGGGCTGCAAGTAAGCCTGGGGGACCTGCATTTGCTCTCTGGCCACGACCCCGCCCCATACTTTGCGTGGGAAGTGCGCCACGTCTCCCGCTTGAACCCCCACCCCCCTCCACTAGAGGCTCTGGGACCCGTCTGGGACTCTCAGGAGCTTCCCAGTCCCTTACCTCTGGCTTTGCCTCTGAGAAGCCCGCCCCCCTTTTTCCCATCCCCGGCTCTTGAGCCCTAAACTTTGCAGCCAACTGTCTCTCTGTTTTGTCTTATGTCTCTCCCCGCCTCCCACCCCCATTCTCCCGTCCTCTCTCTATTCTTTTTCCCGTGACCCCTAACTCCTAACCTCCACCGCTCCCTAGGGACCGATGATGTGGCGACCATTACTTCTGCTGCTGCTGTTGCTGCTCAGACGCGGGACCCAGGGCAAGCCATCCCCTGACGCAGGCCCTCATGGCCAGGGCAGGGTGCACCAGACGGCCCCCCTGAGCGAGGCCCCTCACGATGATGCCCACGGGAACTTCCAGTACGACCATGAGGCTTTCCTGGGACGGGAAGTGGCCAAGGAATTCGACCAGCTCAGCCCAGAGGAAAGCCGAGCCCGACTGGGGTAGGAGAGAGATGGAGAGGAGGATCAGGGCTGTAATTTTAAACAGGAAGGGGAGGGGAGGCCTCAGTGAGAAGGTAAAATTTGACCATGTGGATATATGGGGAAATAGCATTACAGGCGGAGGGAACTGTAAGTGCAAAGGCCCTGAGGCAGGAGCAGGCCTGATATTTGAGGAACAGTGAGATTCGTGTGGCTTCAACCTAGTGAGTGAAGAGGAGAAGGTGGAAGGTGATAGAGAAGGAACAAAGAAGTCAGGGCGTTTTAGCGTTTCTCTTAGGGAGGCCAGAGCCATGGGAGGGCTCTAAGCAGAGGGAGGATGTGAGCTGGCTTAGGTTCCAACAGAATCCTTCTGCTTGCCTTTGGGGAACAGACTATAGGGAACAAGAAGCAGGGAGCCAGTGAGAAAGCAACTGCAGTAGTCCAGATGGGAGACAGGAGACAACGGTGATTAGATCGGAGTGGAGAGAGTGATGGTAACAGGGTCTGCTGGGTCAGAGTTTGTGCACAGATGGCACTGGGCAAAAGAGGGAAGGAGGAGGAAAGGCAGAGTGATTGGCTAATGCATTTGGCATAAGATCACTACAATGCCTGGCATTGTTCTAAGTGCTTTACAAGGGTTAATTTATTTAATCCCCACAACCATGCTGCAGGGTAGGTTCTGTTATTTATCCTCCATTTTACGGAGGAGTAAACTGAGGCACGGTTTTTAAAAAATGTTTGCTTTCTCTTTTTTTCAGATTTTATTTATTTATTCATGAGAGATGCAGAGAGAGAGAGAGAGAGAGAGAGAGAGAGAGAGAGAGACAGGCAGAGGGAGAAGCAGGCTCCATGCAGGGAGCCTAACGCGGGACTCTATCCAGGGTCTCCAGGATCACACCCTGGGCTGAAGGCGGTGCTAAACCGCTGAGCCACCCCTTTGTGTTTTTTTGTTTGTTTGTTTTTTGTTGTTGTTTTTTAAGTGACTTGTCCAGGTCATAAAGCCAGCAAGAGGAGGTGGCACGATTTGAACCCAGACTATCTGGCTGTGGAGCCCACTCTCTTAACAACTTGAACCTCAGGCTAGGGTGTGAGTCCTGGGACTCCAGCTACCCATCAGAGTAGAGAGAGCCTGGCACGGGACGGGGCAGCGACCTGGGCAGGGCCACCTCAGAGTTGACCCTGGGAACTGGGTTGGGGGCTTAAGGACTGTGACCTAGAGGAGCGCTCCATGTGGGTTCTGTGAGTGGTTGGGTAAGGACCCAAACGGTGGCGGGGAGTGGTCGGGGGAGTGGGGAGGGGGCCTGGGAGCAGACAGGGGCGTCCCGAGAGAGGGTGCAGAGGAAGGGCCTTCAGGGACTAAGTAGGCGACGACAAGGTGCACAGAATCCGGCCGGCGCATGGGGAGGGGAGTGTGAAAGCCAGAACCGCGGGGTTGCGGGTGATGGCCCTAGGGCAAAGCCCGAGACGGTCTGGAAAAAGTAGGGGAAAGGGGCGGGACGCAGCATAGGGTGGGGCTGGAGGGGGCGGGCCCTGAAGTCGCCCGCGCAGCCAGGCAGGCGGGGCGGGGGGCGGGTTTGGAAGACTTGCCTCGGAGACTGGCCGGGGGGTGTGTGTGGCGATGACCATCAGAGTTCAGAGAGAGTCTTGGGATAGGGGACCTGCGGGCGAGGGGCGCGGTGTAACACCTCCTCCCTGTCCCCACCTCAACTCGGACCAACGAGATGGAGCTAGTAAGGGTCGAGGGGTGGAGTCAAAGTGGAGAGTGTGGCCCTGGATTGTCGTAGGGCCTTCCCCCAACCAGGGCGTGTGGAGGACCGCAGCGCCCGCCAGGGACCCACTGGGTGTGGACTCAGGGGGCGGAGCCCTGCGCTGGGCGCGACCCCGGGGTTGACAGGGGTCTCCCCTCAGTGTGAGGGCGGCCCCGGGACCGGTGATTTCTACCCTATATGGGGGTGTGTCTTGAGTGGGGGCGTGATTCCCGCAGGGGGGTGGGGCCTGGGCGGAGGCGGGTCTCCGGGTGGGCGGGGTCTGGGTCTGACTGTGCCCCACCCCGACTCGCAGGCGCATCGTGGACCGCATGGACCGCGCGGGGGATGGGGACGGCTGGGTGTCGCTGGCCGAGCTCCGTGCTTGGATCTCGCATACGCAGCAGCGGCACATACGCGACTCGGTGAGCGCCGCCTGGAACACGTACGACACGGACCGCGACGGCCGTGTGGGTTGGGAGGAGCTGCGCAACGCCACCTATGGCCACTACGCGCCGGGTATGCGGCGAGACCCTGCTCCTGCTTCCCTCAAAACACACACGTGGTGACCCTGACCTTTTTGACAGCCTTATCCTGAGAAGCTTTAGCCTATGAAACAGAATCCCTAACCTTTGGGGCGCCTGGGTGGTTCAGTGGTTGAGCATCTACCTCTGGCTCAGGTGGTGATTCTGGGGTTCTGGGATCGAGTCCCACATCGGGCTCCCCGCAGGGAGCCTGCTTCTCCCTCTGCCTATGTCTCTGCCTCTATCTGTGTGTCTCTCATGAATAAATAAATAAAATCTTAAAAAAAAGAATCCCTAACCTTCTACTCCAACTCTTTTTTTTTTTTAAGATTTTACTTATTTATTCATGAGAGACACGGAGAGAGAGAGGCAGAGACACAGGCAGAGGGAGAAGCAGGCTCCATGCAGGGAGTCTGATGTGGGACTCGATCCCAGGACTCCAGGATCAGGCCCTGGGCTGAAGGCGGGGCTAAACCGCTGAGCCACCCGCGCTGCCCCTACCTCCAAATCTTGATCAAAGTCTACCCACTTCTAGTACCCCATCACCCTGAAACTCCCAGTCCCTGATCTCTGGCTTCTCACTCTGGCGTCCACGACCTCTATAACCACAGCTGGGGGATCCTTGATCGGGGACATCTACCTCCCATGCTCTGTCTTCCTGACCATTGATCTCTGATCTCTCCTCCTGAGAACCCCAAATCCATTTACTCCATCTCCTAACTGCGTTCCCTCCTGTCTATTCTCATGCCCTAGCCCTGCAACCCCCCGCAGTTCTTGTTCTCTTCCTCCTAAACCCTCCCTCCACACCCCTCCTCCAGCCTGTCCCTCATATATCCCCAGAGGGGTCTTTCCACACCCAGAGTTGACCCTGATCCTTCCCTGCTCATGGCTTCATGGCTTCCCAGTACCTACAGAGGAGACTCTCAGTTAATCAGTTCTGGCTTTCTTTTTCTGCGTTTTCTGGCCAGCCATATGGATCTCCTATAGTTTCCCTGAACTCAGTGAGCTATTCAGACCTCCACATTCTGCTCATACTGTTTTCTTTGTTGACAGAAACCTGTCCTATAACCTGAGTCCATATAACTTACTGCACCAGAGGGGATCTTGAGGCCCAAAGGGCCCGTGTCAACTCAGAGTTCACCATTCCTGGCTGCATGACTTTGGGCCAGTTATTTCCTGTCTGTGGGAATCCGTTTTTTCCTTCATAAAGTGAGAATAAATACAAGAACACTCCTGACTTGCATTTTGTAATAATCAAATGCAATTCTGTACATAAAGAGCTTAGCATTTAATAAACTCTCAGGACAAGGTTGCTAATATATACAATGAATATATATTATTACTAGTTCTGGGGAGGCCTTCCTGCCCTGACTTTACTGAGTTGGGTCCTTTGTTATATTTTCCTTCAACCTGCTTGGTGTTCCCACCATGAAAGCACACCTGACCAAGATCTCCCCTTCCCCAGGTGAAGAATTTCACGATGTGGAGGATGCTGAGACCTACAAGAAGATGCTGGCTCGGGATGAGCGGCGGTTCCGGGTGGCGGACCAGGACGGGGACTCGATGGCCACTCGGGAAGAGCTGACAGCTTTCTTGCACCCGGAAGAGTTCCCGCACATGCGGGACATCGTGATAGCTGTGAGTGAGGGCCCAAGGGGCCTGCTCTCCGCTTCCCACCTCCTCCTGGGACCTGGGCTTCTGATGTCAGGGCCACCTTCCACTGCTTACCTTGGGGGATCCAGTCACCTGGTCCTCCAGCACCTTCCCCAGGGAACCCAGCCTGCAAACAGATCAGTGGAGGGTAACCTCTCCTTTGCCCAACAGCTGACCTCCCATTGTCTGATCACTCTTGGTCCTGCCTTCCCCTTCCTGTGCTCCCATTTGGAGTTGGGGCACCAGCCTGAAAACACATCCCCCAGAAATGCCTTGGGGAACCTTAATCCTGGGCAAACCTTATCTCAACCCCACACATGGAGTATCTACTCTGAGGCCATTTCTGCTGGCCTCTGTCTTCTTATTCCAGTATAATTTTTTTTCACCAATTCCTTTTTTTATGATTTTATTTATTTATTCATGAGAGACACACACAGAGAGAGAGAGAGAGAGAGGCAGAGACACAGGCAGAGGGAGAAGCAGGCTCCACACAGGGAGCCCATTGTGGGACCCAATCCCGGGACTCCAGGACCACAGACCAGGCTGAAGGCAGGCGCTAAGCCGCTGAGCCATCCAGGGATTCCCCACTTTTTTTTTTTAAAAGAGGGATATTGTGAGGGGGGATAGGCAAAGGGAGAGGGAGATAGAAATTTTTTTTTAAAGATTTTATTTATTTATTCATGAGAGACAGAGAGGCAGAGACATAGGCAGAGGGAGAAGCAGGCTCTTTGCTGGGAACCTGATGTGGGACTTGATCTTAGGACCCCAGGATCATGCCCTGGGCTGAAGACAGATGCTCAATCATTAAGCCACCCAGGCATCCCGAGAGAGAAACTCTTAAGCAGATTCCATGCGCACCATGGAGCCCAATGCGGTGCTCAATCTCATGACCCTAAGATCATGATCTGAGCTGAAATCAAGGGTCAGACACAATCAACTGAGCCACCTAGGTGCCCCAATAGTGGAAAGGTTTTTTCCTTCTTTTTTCTTTTCCTCAATAGACTTTTTTTTTAAATTTTATTTATTTATTCATGAAAGACACAGAGAGAGGCAGAGACAGAGGCAGAGGGAGAAGCAGGCTACTCTCAGGGAGCCCAATGTGGGACTTGATCCCGGGACTCCAGGGTCACACCCTGAGCCAAAGGCAGACACCCAACTGCTGAGCCACCCGGGCATCCCATAGACCTTCATTTTTATTTTATTTTATTTTTATTATTTTTTTAAAGATTTTATTTTTAAGTAGTCTCCACATCCAAGGTAAGGCTTGAACTCACAACTCTGAGATCAAGAGTCACTTTCTTTGCTGACTGAGCCAGCCAGGCACCCCAGAGCTTGATTTTTAGAGCAGTTTTAGGTTCACAGCAACACTGGGCAAAAAGTCCACAGATTTTCCATATTCCCCTCTGCCCCCACACTCACAAGCCTCCCCCACATCAACATCCCCCACCAGAGTGGGACACTTGTTACAATGGATAGACCTACAATGACACATCTTCACTACCCCAAAGTCCACAGCGCACATTAGGGTTCACTCTTTTTTTTTAAATTTTTATTTATTTATGACAGTCACACATAGAGAGAGAGAGAGAGAGGCAGAGACACAGGCAGAGGGAGAAGCAGGCTCCATGCACCAGGAGCCCGACGTGGGATTCGATCCAGGGTCTCCAGGATCGCGCCCTGGGCCAAAGGCAGGTGCCAAACCGCTGCGCCACCCAGGGATCCCAGGGTTCACTCTTAGTAGAAGGATTAATATCCATTTCTACCATGCCTAACTTTTTGCAAATAATTTTTTTAAGATTTTATTTAATTATTTTGAGAGAGAGAGAGCACAAGAAGTGGGAGCAGTGAGGGAGAGGGAGAAGCAGACTCCTGATGAACTGGGAGCCCGATGTGGGGTTCAATCCAGGATCCTGGGTTCATGACCTGAGCCGAAGGCAGATGCTTAACCGACTGAGCCACCCTGGTACCTCTTTGCAAATTATTTTATAAGTGTAATTATATGTACATCTAAAATGGCTACATATTGATGTGTTTAAATGCCCAAAGGATGCAAAAAAAGGTGGATAATCCTCTGCCCTCCTCATCTCATCAGTCCTATCCCCCAACCCCGTCCCCACAGGTAACCCCTTTCGTATGGCTCCATTTCCAGAGTAGGTTTGAGAGTCTGTGGCAAGCCTGTTAGGATCAAGGGCTCTCAGGCTAGAAGGCCTGGGTTCAAATCCCAGCCCTGCAGCTTCCTGGCTTTGTGACCTTAGGCAAGTTATTTAACCTCTCTGGATCTGTTCCTCATCTATAAAATGGTGGTACTGATAATTATCCCTACATCAAGGCTGGTTATAGGGCTTAGATAAGTTAGTACATGTAAAACTGCAAAATTAACTGGTGGTAAATGTTCATTGTGTCACTTTACACACACGTCAATATAGCTACAGGATAAAACTTCTAGCAGTGAAATCACTGGCTCCACTGGGATGTTCATTTGCAATTGTTTTGGATATTTTGTTTTGTTTTAGATATCTCTAAGGCATTTTACTGACTTGGTGTGTTTACCTTTGAGGTGGGGCTTCCAGCTGGTTCTAGAGATGACTATGATCTACAGAGGAGAGATGTTGTTAACCCAGCCTCCTTGAACCAACTAGACTCCCCATCCTACAAGGCCCTATGTCCCTCTTTGTAGCAGATAATGTCGTACTACCTCTTTACTCTCCTGAGTTGAGATTTTTTTTTTTAAGATTTTATTTGACAGAGAAAGCACAACCAGGGGGAGCAGGAGAGGGAGAAGCAGACTCCCCACTGAGTAGGGAGCCTGACGCGGGACTCGATCACAGGACCCTGAGATCATGACCTGAGCCGAAGGCAGATGGTTAACCAACTGAGCCACCCAGGTGCCCAAGATTTTTTTTTTTAAGATTTTATTTTTTAAATAAATTTAAACAGACTTTAAGGGCGCCTGGGTGGCTCGTGTTTGAGCATCTATCTGCCTTTGGCTCAGGTCGTGATCCCGAGGTCCTGGGATTGAGTCCTGCATTAGGCTCCCTGCATGGAGCCTACTTCTCCTTCTACCGGTGTGTGTGTCTCTCTCTCTGTGTCTTTCATTAATAAATAAGTAAAATCTTAAAAAGAAATTTTAAGTGATCTCTGCATCCAATGTGAGGTTCGAACTTACAACCCTGAGATCAAGAGTTGTATGCTCTACTGATTGAGCCAGCCAGGCAGTGAGACTATTTAACAGATTCTGATTGAATGTGCCCTCTGTGGCAGAGGCATCGTGGTAACACCCTTACCTAGGCATTAGCTTGATTGAATCATCATGGCAACCCTATGGGGGTGGGCTCTGCTCTTCATTTTACATAGGCAGACACCTAGGCATAGAGAGGTGAGGTGACTAGCCTGAGATGATCCGGAGGTGAAGTGGCACAGCCTGGATTTGAAGCCCAGCAAGCAGTTGAATCCATGGCCCACACCAGGGGTCAGCAAACTAACCTGCAGCCCACAGCTTGTTTTTGCAACTAAAATTTTATTGTAGTGTGGCCACACCCTTAAGCTTTCATGTGCCACAACCACAGAGAGTTGAGTCAGTTCAACAGAGGCTCTACAGCACCCAAAACCAGATCTGTTTCCTCTGGCCCTTTATGGGAAAAGTTTGCCAAGCCCTTGTCTAAACTCTGCTGTCCTCTTTCACATTCATGGATATCCAGTGTAATCTCCCCACACACAGGATTTCAAAACATTACTGTTTGCCCCGACTATCTTGTATAAAGCAGAAACTAAGGGAGAATCACTTCTAGGGGTGTCTGTCTGGGTGGGTCAGTCAGTAGAGTATGTGACTCTTGATCTCAGGGTCATGCATTCAAGTCATACATTGGACATGGAGCCTACTTTAAAAAAAAAAGAAAGTTACTTAAGAGAAATAATGAATTTTGGGGCTCCTGGGTGGCTCAGTTGGTTAGGCACCTGACTCTTGATTTCAGCTCAGGTCATGATCTCAGGGTTGTGAGACTGAGCCCCATGTTGGGCTCTGTGCTCAGTGTGGAGGCTGCGTGTCACTCTTCCCCTGCTTGCTCTCTCTCTAATAAATAAATAAAATCTTTAACAACAACAACAACAACAAAAAGAACAGGAATTTCAATATGTTAGTGTTGTAGAGTTACCAGATTTATCAAATAACAAAGGGCATTCAATTGTACTTGAATTTATAACAAATAATATAAAAAATAAAAATATAAAAAATAAAATTTTATATATCTCACACAGTATTTGGGACATACTCATGTTAAGAAATTCTCTGAAATTCAAATGAACTTTGTCCTATAGTATAAGTATATTCTAAATTTTGTGTGGGGCCATACTTAAGCTAAACAATTACTAGGGGATGCCTGGGTGGCTCAGAGGTTGAGCATCTGCCTTCGGCTCAGAACGTCATCCTGGAGTTCTGAGATCGGGTGCCGCATCAGGCTCCTGCATGGAGCCTGTTTCTCCTCCCTTTGCCTGTGTCTCTGCCTCTCTCTGTGTCTCTCATGAATAAATAAATAAAATCTTAAAAAAAAACCAGAAATATTAGTTGTTCATCTGAAAGTTGGATGTGAGTGAGCATCCTATATTTTTTTCTGGCAACCCTAAGATGTTGGAGCTTTCTTTCCAAAGAAGGCGTAGTGGAGTGTCAGGCCCTACACCATCTTAAAGTGAGTGAGTTTGAGCATAAAAGTGGGAAACAGAAGCTATTTGCTCAAGAAGTGGAGAGAGAACCATGAGTGGAGGTATTGTGTGTGTCACAATGATGTGTGTCACACATCACCAAGTATGTCATGTTCATATGCAAAATGGAGCTGGGGTCTGGGTTCTGCTCAATGGGAAGAGGCTTCTGCCCTTGGAGAGTGTTTGCTGTGGGGTGTGAGAAAAGTAGGGATGCAGGACAGGTCTCTTTCTGTGGAAGCAGCCTGTGCATCACAGGACATCTGGGTTCCCTGGCCCCCATGCACTAAATAGGGGCTCATTACACACCCCAGAAAGCCACCCAACCCCTACCCCCACTACAGGACAGGTTGACCCCATTGAGACTGCTCCCAAGCCTGGTCACACAGCTGAGCCAGAGCCAGATTCCCAGAGGGAACCTCACATCCCAATCCCAGGGCGCCAGCCCTCCTCAGGAGCCAGCACCAATGCCTGTCTTTCCCCAGGAAACCCTGGAGGATCTGGACAAGAACAAGGATGGTTACGTCCAAGTGGATGAGTACATCGGTGAGTGAGACCTGATCCCCTTCCTGAGGATGCCTGTCCTCCCCCAAACAGCCCAATGTATACACCCATAGGAGACCAATGGCCCTCTTAAAGTGGGGGCAGGGGCATTGCTTGAGTTCATGTAGCCACCAAACATTAATGGAGCACCTACTGTTTGCTTAGCCCTAAAAGCATTTATCCATTACCCATCGTCTGTCAGGCCCAGCAAACATTTATCGAGTACATATATTTGTTGGGTCTAGCAAATCTTTACCAAGCACCTACTATGTGCCAGGCCCAGGAAACGTTTATCCAGTACCTCCTGTGTGCCAGACTCAAAAAAGCATTTGTTAAGCACTCATGGTGTGCTGAGACCAGAAAACATGTATAGAGCACCTACTGCATGTTCATGGTTGAGGATACAGCAGATATCATAGACCAGGTTCCTTCCTGGGAGGGTCTGGAGTATCTACAAAATCGGGCCTCAGCGGCTGCATTAATTAAGATTTAGAAATCAAGGAGCTTGTCTGGAGCCTGCCTTTGCACAGCAAAGGCTGTGTCTCCTGTTACTCAGAATTTGGTGGGGGAGGCTTGTGACACGCCCAAATTTCCTCTTGGCCATGCCTCTACCCATGCCTTCAGGGGTAAAGAACTTTTTTTTAAGCTTTTTTATTTATTTATTCATGAGAGACAGAGAGAAAGAGAGGGAGAGAGAGAGAGAGAGAGGCAGAGACACAGGCAGAGGGAGAAGCAGGCTCCAAGCCTGACCTGGGACTCAATCCCAGGTCTCTAGGATCAGGCTCTGGGCTGAAGGCAGCGCTAAACTGCTGAGCCAGCTGGACTGCCCAGGGGGTAAAGAATATAGTTGAGGAGAAAGCTGTTAAATATGGATATTTTTACAAGTTTGAAAACATTTTTCTTTCTTTCTTTCTTTCTTTCTTTTCTTTCTTTCTTTCTTTCTTTCTTTCTTTCTTTCTCTTCCTTCCTTCCTTCCTTCCTTCCTCTCCTCCCTCCCTTCCTTTCTCTCTCTCTCTCTCTCTCTTTCTTTCTCTTTCTTTCTTTCTTTCTTTCTTTTTTTAAATTTTATTTGTGAGAGAGAGACAGACAGAGATAGTGAAAGAGAGAGAGAGAGAGAGCACAAGGAGGGAGGCAAGGAAGAAGCAGAGTTCTCGCTGAGCAGGGAGGCATACACGGGGCTCAACCCCAGGACCCTGAGATCATGACCTGGGCCGAAGGCAGATGCCCAACCAGCTGAGCCACTCAGGCACCCCCGAAAACATTTTTCCATAGCATGTTTTTATGGAACAAACCCTCAGGCAAGACATTTTTATTTGAGCATTATTTATCTTTTTTACATCAGTGAGGAAGATAGAAGATAGAAGTCTTTTTTTTTTTTTTGTAAGAAAGAATTCAGGCATCATCACCAACAAATGGTGCAATATCACGTACCACATGCTAGACTGTTCTGAGTGGTTAACAACTTTTAACCCGACAAGATGGGTATCGATCCTACAAGATGGCTATTTTTTTAATGATTTTATTTATTTATTCATGAGAGACATACAGAGAGGCAGAGACACAGGCAGAGGGAGAAGCAGGCTCCCCGCAGGGAGCCCATGTGGAACTCAATCCCAGGACCCTGAGATTATGACCTGAACCAAAGGCAGACACTCAACTACTGAGCCACCCAGGTGCCCTAAGATGGGTATTATTACACCATTTTACAGATGAGGAAGCTGAGGCCCAGAGGGACCCAGTTACTTGTCTGGGGTGGAGCAGGATGACAGTCCAGGGTCCCACCCTGACCTCTAGGCTGCTTCCCTTCCCTCTAAGGGGTCTAGAGAAACAGATGCAGGTGGGACCCCAGGGTTCCCCAGGAAAACGTAATTTGACATCTGTTGAATGGTAGATGGAAGAGCATGAGTCAGGAGAATGGAAGGGGCACCTTGGGCTCTGACCCAGGCTGGGGGACAGGTGGTGTGTCAGGGAAGGTGGGAGGGGTGGGGGTGCATTGTGTTTAAGGTGCATTCTGCTCACTCTGGAGCCTGCATGCTTCCCACCTGCCACCTCCCAGCCATGGGCCCAGAAATGAATTCCTTGACCTTTCTCAGCCTTGGCTTCCTTACCTTTAAAGGCAATGGTAGTAGAGCAGCCAAGAGATAGAATGACATCTAGTCAACCATGATGCCTGTAGCCGATGACTGCTAAAGCGGAAGGTGGTAGATGTTATTCAGCCATAAAAAGAGAGGAAGTACTCACACAGGCTACAATGTGGGTAAATCTTCAAAACAGTGTGCTAAGTCACCAGGTCCCACACCTGAAACGAATGTAACATTGTGTGTCAGCTACACTTTAACAAAAAAATAAAAACACCACGCCAAGTAAAAGAAGCCAGCCAAAGGGGTCATGATATTCTTTTTTTTTTTTAAAGATTTTATTTATTTATTCATGATAGACACAGAGAGAGAGACAGAGGCACAGGCAGAGGGAGAAGCAGGCTCCATGCCGGGAGCCGGATGTGGGACTCTATCCTGGGTCTCCAGGATCACGCCCTGGGCCGAAGACAGGCGCTTAAACCGCTGAGCCACCCAGGCTGCCCGGGGTCATGATATTCTTGTATGACTGCATTTATATGAAATATTCAGGATAGGAAGATTCATAAGAGACAGGAATTAGATTACTAGTTGCTAGGGGCTGAAGTGGGGGGGGATGCAGAAAGGAGTCACCTCTTTTTTAATTAAAAAAAAAAAAGGTTTTATTTATTCATGAGAGACACAGAGAGAGAGGCAGAGACACAGGCAGAGGGAGAAGCAGGCTCCCTGCGCGGAGCCGGATGCAGGACTCTATCCTGGGACTCCAGGATCATGACCTGAGCTGAAGGCGGCGCTAAACCGCTGAGTCCCCTGGCTGCCCAGGGAGTTGCTTCTTAATGGGAAAAGAGTCTCCCTTTGGGGGGATGGAAATGTTCTGGGTGGATGTGGTTGCTGCGAATACTGTGAAGATTCTAAATGCCACTAATGGTGGCTTTATGTTATGTGCTTTTTACCACAATTTAAAAATTGTTTAAAGCTCATTTATTTATTTAAATCTTTAAATTTTTATTTATTTATTTAAGTTATCTCTCCTTCCAACATAGGGCTCAAACACACAACCACCACCCCACCCTTCAATCAAGAATCAAATGCTAGGATACCTGGGTGGCTCAGTGGCTGAGTGTCTTTCTGCTTTTCCCCGCGGGGAGCCCGCTTCTCCCTCTTCCTATGTCTCTCTCTCTCTCTCTCTCTCTGTGTGTGTGTGTGTGTTTCTCATGAATAGATAAAATCTTTAAAAAACAACAATAACAAAAACAAAGAGTCAAATGCTTTTCCAACAGAGCCAGCCAGACACCCCTTATTTTTTGTTTTTATTTTTTAAGCTTACGTTTTGAATCTTTGTAAGTTTTTCTCCACAAGTTAGAAAACCTACAACAGGGATCCCTGGGTGGCGCAGCGGTTTGGCGCCTGCCTTTGGCCCAGGGCGCGATCCTGGAGACCCGGAATCGAATCCCACGTCCGGCTCCTGGTGCATGGAGCCTGCTTCTCCCTCTGCCTGTGTCTCTGCCTCTCTCTCTCTCTCTCTCTCTCTCTCTCTCTCTGTCTCTCTCTCTGTGACTATCATAAATAAATGAAAATTAAAAAAAAAAAAGAAAACCTACAACAGCTCCCGTCTACTGTTGCCATCACTTCCTGGAAGAAAATATGACTTAGAACCACTAAAAAAAAAAAAAGGTGGGGGGTGCTCTGCACTCACTGTTCTGGAAAGCTTACTGAGTGTCCAGCGCCTGCTCTGTCTTTGGTGACATCCTTGTGACAGCTGCCTGGCCTGGTCCCTGAGGAGAGGAAGGCATTCTGTACTTATCATGGTCTTGGATCTGGTATAGAGACCTTCATATTTTTTATTGGGTGGTAATGTCTTCCAAACCCATCTGTGGGCTGCTTTCTCCCAGACAGCCTCTAGGGGCAAGGTTAGGGGAAGAGTTTTTCAAACGTTTACAAGTAACTGAAACAAATGAGAGGCTCCAACAATCTTGAGTGAAGTTCTTATTTATTTATTTATTTATTTATTTATTTATTTATTTATTTATTTAAAAATTTAAAAAATTTTAAAAGATTTTCTTTATTTGAGAGAGCATGAGAGAGAGAGAGAGAGAGAGAGAGAGCGCAAGCGCATGAGAGCCATGAGGGTCAGAGAGAGAAGCAGACTCTCCACTGAGCAGGCAGCTGGATGCGGGGCTAGATCTGGATCTGGGGGACTCCAGGATCACACCCTGAGCCAAGGGCAGCTGCCCAACCAACCAAACAACCCAGGCACCCCGATTTTTTTTTAATTTAAGTTCAGGGACACCTGGGTGGCTCAGTGGTTGAGTGTCTGCCTTTGGCTCAGGGCGTGATCCTGGGGTGCTGGGATCAAGTCCCACATAAGGCTCCCTGTGGGGAGCCTGGTCTCTCTCTGCCTGTGTCTCTGCCTCTCTCTGTGTCTTTCATGAATAAATAAAAAGTAAAATCTTAAAAAAAAATTAAATTCAATTTGCCAACATGTAGTATAAGACCCAGTGCTCATCAACATCACGGGCCCTCTGTACTGCCCAGCACACAGTTCTTAAAGTGGGGTGAGCTGTTCTAAGGGTTGGGGTGTGACTGTGTGCGCTGCACAACAAGGGACACACAGCATTTCCTGTGTGTTATCAGGCCAACTGACTGACAGCTAGTTGAGGAAATGATCCATCAGTCAAGTCATTTTCCTTGTGGCAGGGCGATCACCTGTCAGTCCGGTGTCACTATCAATCCTATTCAAACAGAAGAGGGAACCGAGGCGAGAGAGAAAGCAAAGGGGGCAGCCCGGTGTTCTGGGGTCTGGGATGGGGTCTGGGGTTGGGAGGTGTCAGGGCAGGGATGGAGCCTCGGGGTGCCCACCAGAACTGCCTGACGTCGCCCCTTCTCGCCTGGCCCAGCGGATCTGTATTCGGCCGAGCCCGGGGAGGAGGAGCCGGCCTGGGTCCAGGCCGAGCGGGAGCAATTCCGGGACTTCCGCGATCTGAACAAGGATGGGCGGCTGGACGGCAGTGAGGTGGGCCACTGGGTGCTACCCCCGGCCCAGGACCAGCCGCTGGTGGAGGCCAACCACCTGCTACACGAGAGCGACACGGACAAGGTGCCCCAGGGGGCTGCTGTGCAGAAAGGCCCAGACCCGGGCCCCCCAGACCCAGGGTGGGGGTAGGGATGGGGGGGAGGGGGCCTGTTAGGGCAGGGATTAAAAGAGGAATAGAGAGACCCAGGGAGGGAGTGGAGGAAAGGTAGGGGACAGGGACCCAGAAAGCCGTGGGCTGGAGAGGTTCAGAGAGGAGTGTCACAGGCAGAGCCCCTTGTCCCCCCTGCTGACCTGTGACCCTCCCTCCAGGATGGGCGTTTGAGCAAGGCCGAGATCCTGAGTAACTGGAACATGTTCGTGGGCAGCCAGGCCACCAACTACGGCGAGGACCTGACACGTCACCATGACGAGCTCTGAGCCCCAGGCCCCAGGGCGCCTGCTACGAGACTTGTAGCCCGACAGGGTGACCCAAGGAGGGGCCCCCGTGGCCAGACCCCCCCTCCCCATCTGGACCTGTAGCATGTGGACACCTCTATCCACCCTGTGTCCCTCTGCCCGAGCTCTCAGGGACACAGCAGGTCAACTTCTCCAAGACACTGCAACACCCCCAGCCCTTCCCACCCCACCCTCAGGAGGCTCAGAGACCCAAAGGGTAAGTGAACATCTGTTTCTCATTGGCAGAATCATCCAGCCCAGCCCAGGGCTCCCCTCAATACTAAGCTCAGGCTCCAAGAGCCTCCACTGAGCACCCCAGCTCCAAATCTGAGCCTCAGATCACACAGCAGAGAAACACTCCCCCTCACTGGCCTCAGACTCGCCTGCCCCCCGGCCCTGCCCCCAGGATGCCTCCTCTCTGCCAGGGAGGCAATAAACTCCAGTGCTGGGGCCTCGTCTCTGTGTCTCTAAGGGACCTTGGGGAGGAATTGGGGGCTGTCGCTGGGGATTGAGGGGCTGTGGACTGCAGGGTTCAGAGATTCGAAGAGGGGGCTAAGGGGGTTGGCAGGATTTGAGGGCATTCCTGGATACAATAAAACTAGGCAACTGGACTCAGCGGGGAACAAGCCAGACGGACGGCTCTGCCCTCTCGAGAGCACAGGATGGCAGTGCTCCGTTGAGTGGCCAGGAGGGGCCTTACTGGCGAGCAGAATGAGGAAGTAAGCCCTGGGGAGTCCTGGAGGGAGAGCCAGAGGGCAGAAGGAACAGCAAAGGGCTCTGAAGCCAGAGTGTGCCCCCTGTGTGTGCGCAGATCAACCAGGAGGCCAGTGTGGCTGGAATGGAGTCAGCAAGTGAGAGAGGAAGGGAGGTGACCGAGATTAGGTCATACAGGGTCTTAAGGAGAGGAGTAGATGTGAGCCACCTTGCTGCTGAGTTGGGACAGAAGGACAGGATATTATGGGCCCTTCATGAGACCTACTCGTTAAATTTTCCTCTAGAAGGGAGCCTGGGTGGCTCTGTTGGTTAAGCATCTGCCTCCAGCTTAGGTCATGATCCTGGGGTCCTGGGATCGAGCCCCCATATTGGGCTCTCTGCTCAGTAGGGAGTTTGCTTCTCTCTCTCCCTTTACTGCTCCCCTGCTTGTGCTAGCACTCTCTGTGTGTCAAATAAAATCTGCAAAAAACAAAAAATACAACAAAACAACACAAAACCTAAAAAACACAAACCCTTTCAACATATTCTCCTGAGGGCGCCTGGGTGGCTCAGTCAGTTGAGCATCTGACTTAACTTCAGCTCAGGTCTTAATCTCAGGATCATGAGTTCAAGCCACATGTTGGACCCCATGCTGGGTGTGGAGCCTACTTAAAAAATAAATATATATTCCCCTGATTTTTAAGGCAGTGAAATGATTCTGTATGATACAGTAATTCTGGGTAAATGTCATCATACATTTATCAAAAGCCCTAGAATATATCCCCAAAAGAGTGAAACCTAATGTATTTATGAACTTTAGTTAATCATAATGTATTGGGGCACTTGGGTAGCTCAGTGGGTTAAGTGTATGACTGTTGATTTCAGTTCAGGTCATGATTTTGGGGTCACGAGATCAAGCCCCAGGTTGGGCTCTGTGCTGGGCATGGAGCTTGCTTGAGATTCTCTCCCTCTTCATTTGCCCATCCCCCATCTCTCTTCCTCTGAACAAAAAAAAAATGTTGGCTTACTAATAATAACAAAGTACAATATTAAGCAAGATGCTAATAAGAGGAGAATCTAGAGGTGGGATAAAGGGGGTATACATGGGAACTCTCTCCCTCTTTTCTTTTTCTGTAAACCCAAAACTACTCTAGAAATAAAGCCTATTAGTGAAAAAAAAATCATAAGCAACTAAAATAGAAAAAATATAAATCAAGTCATAAATCCCCTATATTTGGTGATTTTTGTTTTCTTTCTTGATGAAAGAGCTGGAAATAATCCAGGGTGAGACTGTAAACCTATAGGCCAATGTGGGGAGAACTGGCATCTTAAGAATATGTTTTTCCAAACCATGAACATAGTATATTTCTCTAGAGATACAAATGTTGGCATTCTCTCAGCAGTGTTTTGTAGCTGTCAGAGTAAAGGTGTTAAATCTGTTTTATCAACTTTATCTCTAAGTATTTTCTGGCTTTTATGGTATGGTCAGTGAATTTCTTTTGAAGATTTTATTTATTCATGAGAGACACAGAGAGGCACAGACACAGGCAGAGGGAGAAGCAGGCTCTGTGCAGGGAGCCCAAGGTGGGACTGGATCCTGGGTCTCCAGGATCACACCCTGGGCTGAAGGTGGCGCTAAACCTCTGAGCCACCCACGCTGCCCCAGTGAAGTCATTTTTAAATTTAATGTTCCAATTTCTTGCCTCTACAAAATAAGATACAATTATTTCTGTATATTAACCTTGTATCCTGTGAACTTGCTAAATTCATTTATTTTTTTTAGAGATTTTATTTATTCATGAGAGACACAGAGAGAGGCAGAGACACAGGCAGAGGGAGAAGCAGGCTCCCTGCACAAAACCCAGGATCATGCTCTGAGCCAAAGGCAGGTGTTCAACCGGTGAGCCACCCAGGCGTCCCACCCCTTTCTGTTTTATTATCAACTTCCCTCCAGTTTCTGGCCGCTTTTGTTCACTTTCTAGTGCCTTTAGGTAATTGTTTTCTGTTTTATCCAGAGTTTATCATGGTTACCTATGATGGGATTGGAATTTGAAAACCCAAGCGTGTGTGAATCCAAGCTTTTAGTTATGGTTATATACTGCTCCCTAGTGGCTGGATGTGGAGAATTGGTTTATGAAAGGATAAATTTGTAGATATCTGGGGGCTGCATGTTTGAAAACATTTCGAATTTTAATTTTTTTCTTCTTTTCAAATTTTTGTTTAAATTATAGTTAGTTAAAAACATTTTTAGAAATCAAAGTAATATACACAGCAACAAATTAGTTGTATGAAACAGCTTATGACAGCAGTCCGGCATCTTGTCACCATTAGTGCCTCTCCTTATTTTGTTTTTTTGTCTTTTGCACATTTTGTTTATTTTTAAGTTCTGGCAATATACTCATAGGATGCAAAATTCTAAATGTGCAGGATGTTATATGCTAAGAACGAATCCTTCTTCCACCAAGTTCGCCTCCTCACAGGCAGCCAGTGTTTCTTTCCAGGGAGAATTTGCATAGATTTAGGCAAATGTGTACAAACTGTTTTTGTTTTTAATAGAAAGAATACCAGATGACTAACAATATTTTTTACCTTTGTTTCATGTAACAATTTTTTTAGTCAGAATCCTGATTTTTTAAGGTTTTATTTATTTATTCATGAGAGACACAGAGGCAGAAACAGGCAGAGGGTGAAGCAGGCTCCCTGCAGGGATTGGGGACTCAATCCCAAGACCCTGAGATCATGACCTGAGCCAAATGCAGATGCTCAACTACTGAGCCACCCAGGTGTCCCTATAATTTATTTTGTATTGAGGTAACTAAGAATGTATATTTATACTTAAGTAATCTCTGCCCCCAACATGGGACTCAAACTCATGACCCTGAGATCAAGTCACATGTTCTTCTGACTGAGCCAGCTGGGGGCCCCAAGAATTTATCTTGAAGACTATTTCAAATCAGTCCAGTGGGATCCCTGGGTGGCGCAGCGGTTTAGCGCCTGCCTTTGGCCCAGGGGGTGATCCTGGAGACCCAGGATCGAGTCCCACATTGGGCTCCCGGTGCATGGAGCCTGCTTCTCCTTCTGCCTGTGTCTCTGCCTCTCTCTCTCTCTCTCTCTCTCTCTCTGTGTGTGACTATCATAAATAAATAAAAATTAAAAACAAAAAACATATCAGTCCAGTAAGATTCAACTAGTTCTCCATTGACCAACATTGAGGATATTTCCAGTCTTTTCTAAACGATGTTGTACAGAAGGCTCTAGCATGCCTGTAATTTTCTAGGAGTTTAATTGCAGATAAATTCCTAGAAGTGGGATTTATGAATTTGGTAGGCGTTGCCAAATTGCCAAGCACACCTCTTTGTTATTGCTGTGAATTTCGGTAAATTTTATGGGAGTATAAAACACATAACATGCACACAACTCAAGTGCTTGGTGTAACGAATTTTCACGAACTGCGCACATGCATTGGTAGCTGGTATTCAGATCAAGAAACCAAATATTATCTGGTCAGTCCCTAGCAGGACCCAGACTGTGGCCTCCCCAGAGAACCACTATCCCCCCGCCCCCCCCCCCTTTTTTTTTAAAGATTTATCTAGGGACGCCTGGGTGGCTCAGCGGTTGAGCGTCTGCCTTTGTCTCAGGGCGTGATCCTGGAGTTCTGGGATCAAGTCCCACATCAGGCTCCCTGCATGGAGCCTGCTTCTCCCTCTGCCTGTGTCTCTGCCTCTCATGAATAAACAGATAAATCTTTTTATTTTAAAGATTTTATTTATTTATTCATGAGAGACAGAGAGAGGCAGAGACACGGCAGAGGGAGAAGCAGGCCCCCCACAGGAGTCCGATGCAGGACTCAATCCCAGATCCCGAGACCATGACCTGAGCTAAAGGCAGCCGCCCAAGTGCTGAGCCACCCAGGTGTCCCAAGAACCACTATGCTGATTTCAAACAGCATAGTTTTGCCAATTTACTTTAGAGAAGTGGAATCATGCTGCATGGACGCCTGTACTGGGCAGATGGTTTCTTCCTTCTCACTCCACTGTACATGGCGCACAGTTCATCTGTTCTGCTGGTGATAAGCTTTTGGGTCATTCCCAGCTACAGGCATTAGAGACAGAGCTGCTGCAAACATTCTTTTTTTTTTTTTTTTTTTTTTTAACGATTGTATCTTTGGGGCAGCCCCAGTGGCTCAGCGGTTTAGCGCCACCTTCAGCCCAGGGCGTGATCCTGGAGCTCATGGATCAAGTCCCCTGCATGGAGCCTGCTTCTCCCTCTGCCTGTTTCTCTGCCTCTCTCTCTCTGTCTCTCATGAATGAGTAATCTCTACACCCAATGTGAGGCTCGAACCCATGAGATCAAGAGTCATGTGCTCGTGGGCCTGGGCCGGCCAGGTGCCCCAGACTGTGAGGACTGCCATCTGTGTTTTCTTGAGCATGTTTGTGTGTCTGTTGGGTGTGTGGGTCCGTGGACTGAGATCACGGGGCCATGGGGCCTGCATATCTTTAGCTTTTACCAGATATCGCCTAGTTACTGCTCCAGTATCCACACCTAACAGTGTGGTAAAAGAAAAAAAAAAAAAGAGGTCTAGTTTCTCCACGTCATCACCAATACTCACAGAAGAACTTCTGAACTCTTCTGCTTTCCATTCTTTCAATGGTGACCCTCACACCTCCAGATCGATGTGCATTAAATCCACATGCTTTTGAGAGCCAGGCTGGGGAGAAGTAACTCGGTGGGGTCTCTGATGATGTCAGAGCTTTTTTTTTTTTTTAATATTTTATTTATTAGAGAGAAAGTGAGCAGGAGGAGCAGTGAGGAGTGGGAGCCGGAGAGAAGCAGACCACCGACTGAGCAGGGAGCCAGATGCAGGGCTGGATCCAGGACTCTGACTGAGATCATCACCTGAGCAGATGCTTAACTGACTAAGCCATCTAGGGGCCTCCATGTCAGATCTGATTAAAAAAATTGGGGAGGCAGTTGGGTGGCTCAGTCAGGTAAGCATCTGACTGGGTTTTGGCTTGTGTTGTGATCTCAGGGTCTTCAGATCAAGGCCCACATTGGGCAACATGGTGGGTGTGGAGCCTGCTTGAGATTTTTCTCTCCCTCAGCCACCCCCCGCCTCCCCCCCCTCCCCGCTCTCCAGTGTGCATGCTTCCTCTTAAAAAAAAATCCGAAACGTTAACTCACGTACTATAAAATAAACACTTTGAAGTGCAAAATTCACTGACTTACAAGGTGGGGTGTCCATCACCATTGATTCCAGAACATTTCCACTCCCCCCGACCCCTAGTAAACCAGGACCTTTTCATTATTCACTCCCCATTCCCTCCCCTCAGCCCCTGGCAACCACAAATTTCCTTCCTGTCTGATGAATTTGCTTATTCTAGACATTTTATGTAATAGGGATCATCATATAGTATGTGACCTTTTGTGTCTGGCTTTTTTTTTTTTTTAAGACTTATTACGGGGGGAGGGGGAGAGAGAGAACAAGAACAAACAGGAGGAGGAGCAGAGGGAGACAGAGAAGCAGGCTCCCCGCTGAGCAGGCAGCCAGACATGGGACTCAATCCCAGTACCCTGGGATCATGACCTGAGCTGAAGGCAGACGCTTAACCCACTGAGCCCTCCAGGCGCCCCCTTGTCTGAGTTTTTACTTAGCATACTGGTTTTCAAAGTTTGTCCACCTGGTAGCAGGTATCAGCACTTCCTTATCTTTATGACTGAATAATATTCTGCTGTATGAACATGCATTTTTATTTATCCATTTCATCACTTGATGGACATTGTGTTGTTTCTACTCTTTGGCCCATAGAAGTTTTTGCATGGACAGGTTTCAGTTTTCTTTCTTTTCTTTTTTTTTTTTTGTTTTCAGTTTTCTTGATATACACTTAGAAGTGGAACCATTAAGTGGATTTTTTTTTTTTTTAAGATTTACTTGAGGGGCACCTGGGTGGCTCAGTCACTTAAGTGTCTGCCTTCAGCTCAAGTCATGATCTCAGGGTCCTGGGATGGAGCCCCACATTGGGCTCCCTGTTCAGAGGTAGGTCTGCTTCTCCCTCTGCCCCTCCCCCACTTGTATACTCTCTAATAAATAAAATCTTAAAAAAAAAAAAAGATTTGAGAGAGGTGCGGGGAGGGAGAGGGAGAGAGAATCTCAAGCGGACTCCCCATCACCTGCCACACAAGGAACCAAATGCAGGGCCCGGGCATGATCCCTCAACCCTATTATGATCTGAACTGAAATCAATGCTCAATCGACTGAGCCACCCAGGTGCCCTACTAAGTTAAATTTTTAAGAGAGAAATGGAAACTACTCACATGAAATCCTTTTAAGATTTTTTAAAAATTTGGGGCACCTAGCTGGCTCAGTCGGTTGAACGTCTGCCTTCAGCTCAGGTTATGATCTCAGGGTCCTGGGATCAAGCCCCATATTGGGCTCCCTGCTCAGAGGTTAAGTCTTCTTCTCCCTCTGCCTTTCCCTGTTCTGTTCATACTCTCTCTCTCTCTCTCTCTCTCAAATAAGTATAAAATTTAAATTTTTTATTTTTTAAAATATTTTGATTTAACTCCCATAAAGTCCACTTTTTGGTTACAATTCTGTGAATTTTGATGAATCAGTCATATAACCACCCCCACAATCAAGACACAGTTCTGCTGCCCCTCCCTAAAGTCTCTTGCTCTCCTGTCCTTCCTTATCCACCCCTCCATCCCTCACCAAGGATTTGCTCCCTGCTGCAGTCTTCCCTTTCCAGAATAAACTTCCCTATTTAAAAACCTTAAGAATAGCAGGAACACCTGGGTGGCTTGGATTAAGCGTCTGACTCTTGATTTTGGCTCAGTCATGACCTCAGGATTAGGAGATGGAGCCCTGCATGGTGCCCAGGGTTGGAGTTTAAGATTCTCTCTTCCCCTCTCCCTCTGTTCCTTGCCCCCTGCCACCTGCCGGTCTCTCCCTCTCAAGAGGGGGGAAAAAAAGTGCAGTTTTCCATGTGCTTTCTGGGAGCCAGTTGAGGCTGGAGCCCCTGCAGGCACACCCTGCTGGAGCTAAGCCCTGTGTTGCCTCTTTCTGGCTCAGCTTTAGATCAGTATCTACGGAACCTCTGTGGAGAAAAGGCAAGCTTTGTTTCCACTTCCTTTGCTCCCTTCTGCTGCTGTAGCTGAAGCTGTGGTTAGACTCTTGTTTCCTCTCCTTGTCGCCTTTGAAACCTCAAAGGAAACTACTCTCTTTGGAGCGGGTAAGTTGACATGCACCCCGCCAGCTCCCCACACAGCGTGTCTCGCAGGGCCCGTGAATCGTGGGATTTAGGTTCCTTGTGGGAATAAAGGTGCAAGATTGGGAATCCTTGAAGTGTTTATTGGGGGGGGGGTTCTGAACAAACATGAACAAGACTGGAGTCCTGGAGTAGGCTGGGAGAGATCGGGAAGGACCCAGGGGTGGTTGTAGACTCTTGAGAAAGGGGCTGAAGATTGGGGGCATTCTAGGGATCAAGGGGTGACCTGAAACACTCTAGGTGGAGTTTGCTAAGGGGGAGAGGTCTATGGGGTGATAATGTGGGAATACCTGGGGCGGGGAGAGGTACAGATAATGGAAGGAAGGGCAGGACTGGGAGTGGGGAGGTCTCTGGAGGTGGTTAACTTCTAGGTGAACTTGGCTTTCTGCTACAGCTTTGAGTAGTGACTTTGGGCAAGTGTGTTTTCTCAGACTCAGTGAGCTGTTCTGTGAAGTGGGTACAAGCATCCTTCTCCTAGGATTGTGGCCAGGACTCAAGAGGATTATAGATGGATAGGCCTGGAGGGCAAGGGCTCCTTGAATGCCAGCTGCCACTGGGCCAGTTCCCAGGGATTGGGGTCCCAAGAGTCAGGTGTGAGAGCTCTTCAGAACATAAGGAAGGTTCTAGAAGTATATAGGGGAGCAAATTCTGGGTTCCAGGGGCTCTCCAGGGTGCAACGATGAGACCGTCCACCCCTTGCTACAACCTTTCTCTGAAGCCAGATGCACTACCACGTCCTGCACCAGACAGGGGCTTCACCGAAGAAGAGCAGTGAAGCATACTTCCTCGTTCTTTGAATCAGGTCTGGGCATTAGATAAGACCTCTTAGTTTTAGAGAAGTGAAAAGGTAGAGATTGTTCACTGAATGGAACAGTATGTACCTGTGGAGAAAGACTTGGGAGGGCAGAACCTAGGTATCACTTGGGGAGGCAGGAATGTTAAGTCTTTATCTTTCTGATCTTACCCCGGCTCTGTATGCTACTTTGCACACCGTCCAGGGCTGCTATTGAGAGCCAGTAGTCATGACATACAAAGCTTTTAAGAGCTGCCCCTGTGCTCCAAGCCAAATGCAGGCAGGCCCCCCAGACCCCAGGCTCTGCAGCCTCCTTGTCCCTGCAGGCTCTGCTCCTCACACCTGCCAGGTACTGTGTCCCCTCCAGCAGTCTGTGCAAGCCATTGGACAAGGACTTTCTTCTTGCTCTTGGCCTCTCCGCAGTCAGGTGTCAGGGAGGAGGGCTCCTGACTGCCTTCTCTAGACTGGGTGGCAGCTGCTGGCTCTCACCGCATTTTGTTTCCTTTGGGTGTTTTACCACACTTTACTTTTAGAGAGGCATTCCGGGACATCGAATCTGGCACAACTCAAAAAGATGCGAGGGGTTTTCTACTTAGCCTGTTAAAGTGGCGCCTTCCTGTGGTCGCGCTTCAGATTTTGGCTTCTGGCCCAACGTTAACGCTGCCAGTGTGCATTCAGTTCGGATTTTACTCTCAACATAATAAGCCCACGCCTTCGGATTCTAGTCGCTGCAGCAGGTACACGTGGAGGGCAACCTGGGTGGCCCCAGGGCTCTGGCGCAGCCAATGAAGGGACCACAAGGCCAGTGAGTCCAAGCCTGTTTATTTGGTCTTCTGTGCGCTCAGGCCTGCATCACCGGCCTCGACTTTTCAGCCTGCAGCTTCACACCGGAGCCCGCGAAGCCTGTGCCGCCCTGGGGAGGTGGGGACAAGGCCACCGTGGAGGCAGGTCGGGCCGTGGGGGCGGGGCGCGGAGGAGGCAGGCCTCTCCAGAGAGGGCGGAGCCAGGAGGGGCGGGGCATGCAGCAGGGGCGGGGCCTTGAGAGCGAGGCCTGGGACATGGGTCAGTGCTCACCCGCTGCAGCACGATGATGTCGCGGTCTGTCAGCTTCTCCCCGTTTACCGGGTCTACCATGTCTTTCCGAATCAGCTTCTCCACGCATTCCATGGTGACCACAGCCCCACTACAGTGAAGGTGAGGGTGGGAGGGGCCACAGACCAGAGACCCCGCCTCGATGAAGGTAGCCCCACCCCACCCCGCCCAGCCCCGCCCGGCCCCGGCCCCACTGGCCCTGGATCCTCTCCAGGTGACTCACGAGGGCCGCAGCACCGCGCAAGGCGTGGCGTTGCTCAAGCTGTCGCGGGTCACGGCACACACGTAGCGCTCACTGCGTGTGATGAGCCCCACGCGGTCCACAGAGCTGTCGAGCGGCGTGAAGCGCACAGGTGTCAGGTCTGACATGCGCAATGGCTTCCCGGACATGGGGCAGGTCACGGTGCGAGACTGCGATGGGCAGAAGGGAGGCAGGGTTAGCAGGCCAGGCTGGGGCCAGGTGTAGGGAGGACTGGGGCGTCCCAGGCAGGAAAGGGGGCGCTCAGGATCCTGGAGGACTCTGGCCCTCTGGGTCCTAGTGGGCACAGAGTGCTGGGGATGCTCACAGGCTTCTCCAGCTTGGTGGCCTTGGCCTCGGGGGTCAGCGACGGGATCCAGAAGCTGGGCAGTGCTTTATCCTTGTCCTTGCCCGTAGGACCTGCACTGGACCCAGGTCGGGCATCATCTGTAGGGGGAAAGGGGTGTAGATGCCATGCCCAGGAAGGCACCCGGCCCTGCAGGAACCCCACTCACTTCCAAGTCTGCCTCTCCTCACCTGAGGTCGTCCCAGAGGCGGCCTTGGATGTGAATGGGTTGAGGGGCCGGCTCACGATGGCTGCCTCCTTCTCCAGGAAGCCCCGTACCTGGTCCTGGGCCGCAGCCCGCTGCAGCTCTTTCTGCTCCTCACGCCGGGCACCACGCTGCTTCTCATAGGCCTGTGGACAGCCAGAAAAAAGTGGACCATGCGTCTCTCTGTGGGTTGTGACTCTGAGGGTGGCTCTTCTCATTTCACAGGTGGGTAAACTGAGGTCTACAAAGGGGACCATCCCGGCACTGCTCATAGAGGCTAGGGGCTGCCAGTGTGTGATGCTTTAATCTGCTGTGATCCATGGTGTGGCTCTGCTGTCCTTGCTGGTCCCTTCCCGTATCGCAGGGCACGAAGGTCACTTCTCATTTAGCTGGTTTGGGACTCAGTGGCTTCTCCACTCCAGCAGAGTGGCCAGCAGCTTGGCAGGAGACAAGACGCCCAGACATAAACCTTGTCTCTGTCAATGATGAGCTCTGTGGCTTCCAGTAAGCGCTGTGACTTCTCCTGGCCTGTTTCTTCATCTGTAAAACTGGCTAACAATGGTGACCTACCTCAAAGGTTCACTGGGTTATACGGGATGATTTTTGGAAATGCTTAAAACCTTGACACATACCTGACACATAGTAAGTGCTCAATAAATGTATCTGTGGGCCATGTTATATTTTACAGCATATGTACTGTGTATAGATCCTCTGTCCCATTCTCAGGCAAGTTCCAGGAGAGTAAGCACCCAGGCAGCCACTAGACCATGCAGAGGTCATGGACACTGGGGAAGCCACTTGCTCTAGACAGAAAGCTCTATGAGAATCTCGCCCTCAGTGTTTCCAGAATGCTGGGAAGCCTGGCAGGAAAAGGGAGGGAGGGGGGCCAGCTGTACCTCAAACACGATGATAAAGGGGGTCCTTCCTATCCATAAAATGAGTTCACCCATGAAGAGTGGACGTGGCTTCACATAAATGCCTCAAGAATCCTGCACTGGGAGAATCTCCCACATGCCCTGCAGCTGATTTGGCCCTGTCCACCCATTTTATTTATTTTATTTTTATTTATTTTTTAAAGATTTTATTTATTTATTCATGAGACACACAGAGAGAGGGCAGAGACATAGGCAGAGGGAGAAGCAGGGTCCATGCAGGAACCTGATGCGGGACTCAATCCCAGGAACACTCCCTGAGCCAAAGGCAGACACTGAATTGCTGGGCCACCCAGGTGTCCCGGTGTCAGCACATTTTAGAGCCAATGAAACCGAGGCCCAGAGAGGTGGGGAGACATCATTAATTCAACAAATATTCCTGGAGAGCCTAGGGCCATGGGGTGGTTAAGAGTTTTGTTCCCTGCCCCAAGGGCCTGCTGTCTAGTGGGCATGAGTCAGCCGCATGCAGAATCATAACGATGACAAATGTCAAGACAAGAGGTGACAAGGGGCAGATCCCTGGGGTCTCTGGACTAGCAGGAGGTCAGTGGAGGCAATGCCTGGGCTGAAGTCTAGAGGAGGGTTTAGCCAGAAGTGGGAGGGGACAGTGCACCAGGCAGAGGGACCAGTGCTAGCAAAGGCCCAGAGGGAAAAGGAACTCAGCTGGGAAGCCTAGAGTGGCCGTGCTTGTGAGATCAACATCAAAGCCGCCTGCCCTGCCTATGCCCCCAGACCCCCATCCCCATCACCTTCATCTGCCGGGCGATCTCCTTCTTCTGGTGCAAGATATACTCCAGGATTGCCTCACGCTCATACAGGTAGCCATCTGGGCTGTAAGGACAGGACGGGTTGAGAAGTGTCAGCTCCCTACCCTGGGCACCCACTAAAGCGTCTTGCAGGCAACAGGCCATTCAGTGCTCAAGTGCGGCTCCCTGAGGTAGACCAAACCATTTTCACTCTTCTGGCTTTATAATCTGCTCTGGTGTGTGTGGGGGGTGGGGGTGGGGGGGAACCTTGTGCAGGCAAGGGGTAACTCAGCAGGCCCAGGTGATCCAACCCCTGCACATTCCAGAGGACTAGCTCTTGACCAGCATCCAGGAGGGAACCCCTAAGCCCCTGGATTGTGCTGATTGATAAAAGTATCTTAGTTCACCTGGGATGGGGTGAGGGCTTAGGCTATGTGGTCTCAGATAGACCTCTGGAGGGACTGAAGACCAGGTCAGCCCCATGGAGGTCAGCCACGCCTCCAGGACCAGCCTCTAATAAAATCCCTAGACACTGGGGCTCGGGTGGGCTTCCCTGGTGGGCGACACTCCTGCGTGTTGTCACACGTTGCGGGGAGACCAGCGCTGTCCGTGTGATTCTATCAGGAGAGAACAACTGGAAGCTCGCTCCTATTCCCTCCTGGACTCTGCCCCACGTGTCTTCTCCCCTTTCTGACTTAACCTCCACCTTCGTAGTGGAACAAGCTGTTACGGACTAGAACCAACTCTCCGAGTTCTGTGCGTCCTTCTAATGAACCCCTCAACAAGAAGGTGGCCTCAGGGACCCTTAACCACAGTCCGCTCTCGTCACTCTCTGCAAATGTACCCGTAAACTAAACCCATATCCAGTCACTGGACTAAGCACTTTACACCCATTCTCGCTGAAGCCTCTGCCAGGCCGTGAGGCAGGTAATGGTAAGCGCTCCACACATGAGCTGTTATTATGCACCCAGCCATGTTCTGAGGGCCCTACTCTAGCCTTTTCCACACCCCATGGAACACATTAGGATTACGCCCATGTCTCAGCTGAGCACACAGGCTCTGAGAGGTTAAGGGGCTTGTCCAGGGCGCCCCACCCCTGCATGCAGCGCCCTCCATGCAGCTCCCCAGCTCACGTGACGACAGGATCATGGCAGGGCTGCAGAGAGAGGCAGCAGCAATCGAAGTCCTTGACGGCATCCCGGCTCAGTCGAATGTTCTGGGTCCCATAGCCTGAGGCCGCTGGGGGTGGAGACAGAGGTGATGGGGGGACAGGAGATGTGCCCCTTGCCAAACCCCAGGAGAAAGGCACAGAGAGAACTTGGGGGTGGTGGTGGTGGTGGGGAACTCAAAGAAACAGGGAGTCAAGAGCTTGGGCTGCGTGTCTGTGTTAGGAGCAGGGGCATGACCCACAGGAAGGTGTTAATCCAGAGGGTAAGTGACAGGCCCTGTCACTGAGGCAGCTGGGTAGAGAGGCTCACGGCTGACTCCCCTCTACCACCCCGTCCCCCAACCACTCATGGGCCTGTATGGACTCTGGGCCTCAGTTTCTGCCTCTGGAATGTGGCCGTGACAATGGTGATTCCTTCCTCAGTGGGTAGTTGGGAGTCTTGGATGAGTTCACATACAGAAGTGCCCATTGCAGGGGTGGGAGCATGTGGGATTGCGCAGGCTCTTCCCCATAAGGTCAGGACCACCAGTCAGAGCAAGGTAGGGGGAGAGGGGAGAGACATGCCCAGAAGGCACAACCAGAGGTCCAAGGGAATGGTGACTTCAAGATACACCTGTTCCCCTGCCAAACCCAATACCTGTGTCCTTCTTCTTCTCGTGGTAGGTATAGACGGCCCCTGCCGTGCAATTCTTGCCATGTCGTGTCATCCTGAGGGAAGGAGGGAACAGTTGCAGGGCTGTGGTGGGGGGGAGTCCACAGGAAAGATGGGCCTTTGGAGCTGGTCTGCCCCTACCCCCCCCAGATACAGAAACTGGGGGTGGGTCAGGGGAGGACGGTCTTACAACATGGAGTGGGAAAGCAACACCCATACACTCCAAAAATGAAGTTTTTTTACTTTGCAAGTTTTTTGACCTTTTAAAAAAGATTTTATTTACTTATTCATGAGAGATAGAGAGGCAGAGACATAGGCAGAGGGAGAAGCAGGCTCCCTGAGGGGAGCCTGATGCAGAACTTGATCCCAGGACCCCAGGATCATGCCCTGAGCCAAAGGCAGATGCTCAACCACTGAGCCACCCAGGTGTCTTGACTTTTTCACTTTGAAGAAAGACCTATGCTCTGTTTGTGGAAGCAGGCCTTGGAAGGGGTACACCCTGTGAGTTACTCTGAGATGGTAGAAGGAGGGTTAACTGAAATCCAAGAAAATTCTAGCAGCAGGTGAGGATGGCTGTGGCTCCTTATGCACAGGGGGGAAGTGGGGGTCTTGGAGATGTTCTGCTCAGGGTGTGTGCGCATGTGTGTACCTACCGGCTCATGGCAACTGAGTGCAGTTCTTTGGATTCACCTACTCTATCTCCTGGGTGGGTGAAATCATCTGTAGGTGAAGTGAAATCCGCATCATGGTGGAAGTGTTGCCTAATGTTTATCAATGGCACTGGAATAAATTCGTGTTTTTGAAATGAGCATTCTAGCAGAACTAACTGTACACAGAACACTGGCCAATCAACAAGAAGAAAACCTAGCTACCCAGACAAGGGAGCAAAAGATGTGAAGAAGAGGCAATCTATAGAAGCAGCAGCTCAAAGACTAAGGTGAGTGTGGAGAGACATTCAAGGGCAGCCCGGGTGGCTCAGCGGTTTAGTGCCGCCTTCAGCCCAGGGCCTGATCCTGGAGTCCTGGGATTGAGTCCCACGTCGGGCTCCCTGCCTGGAGCCTACTTCTCCCTCTGCCTGTGTCTCTGCCTCTCTCTCCCTGTGTCTCTCATGAATAAATAAATAAAATCTTAAGAAAAAAAAAAGAGATATTCAAAATTCTCCTCAGGTAGAAACAATAGTAAGATAGCACTTGATAGGTGCCTGGGTGGCTCAGTGGGTTAAGCGTCTGCCTTTGGCTCAGGTCTTGATCTCAGGGTCCTGGGACTGAACCCCATATCTGGCTCCCTGCTCAGCAGGAGCCTGCTTCTTTCTCTCCTCTCTGCTCATGCTCTCTCTTGCTATCTCTCTCTCAAATAAATAAAATCTTCAAAAAAAAAAAAAAAAAGACAGCACTTGATACCTATCATCAGGCTGGCAGGAGAAAATTTGAAAGCTGGGTAAGAACAGAGCTTGGGGAAGACACATGGTCGGTCACAGGATCCTTGGGCATCTCAGCGGGGAGAGTAGCCAGGGTCAGGCTCTTGGAACACAAGCTCATGGAAGTTTAGCAAAATAAGCGCAGGTGATTCTGCACTTGGGTGATGTGCCCCAAAGACATACTTAGAGACATCCCCAAGGGAGCATACCCACGGATGTCCACAGTGGGTTAGTTATTCCAGAGGGGAGTCAAAGGCACCTGGATGTCCCTTCCTGGGAGAATGGGTGGTGATGGCCTAACCTGGAGACTACCCAGCTGTGAGATGCAACCCGCTAGATGTGTCCAAGGCATCACAGGTAGATGTTAACACAATACTGGGTATAGAAAGTAAGGGGAGAAAAGGGGAAGAAATGAAACAGGATCGCTAACCAATCTATTTGTGCCCAAGATGGTACATATATTTTTAAAAAATTTTATTTATTTATTCATGAGAGATACAGAAAAAGAGAGAGAGAGAAAGAGAGGCAGAGACACAGGCAGAGGGAGAAGCAGGCTCCCTGCAGGGAGCCTGACGTGGGACTCAATCCCAGGTTTCCAGGATCAGGCCCTGGGCTGAAGGCGGCGCTAAACCACTGAGCCACCCGGGCTGCCCCATATATTTTTTTTTAAGATTTTATTTTGAGGGATGCCTGGGTTTTATAAATAAATATTTTATTTATTTTATTATTAATAAAGGTTTAATAAATAAAGATTTTATTTATTTATTCATGAGAGACACAGAGAGAGAGGCAGACACAGGCAGAGGGGAAAAGCAGGGTCCCTACAGGGAGGCTGATGTGGGACTCCATCCCGGGACTCCGGGATCAGGCCCTGAGACAAAGGCAGATGCTCAATCACTGAGCCACCAAGGTGCCCCAAGATGGTACATTTTTTTAAAAGTTCATACAAACAAGAGGGTATGCACTGTGCATACTAGAGTGGTTGCCCATGTGTGAGGTGGGGACTGACCAGGGGCTGGAGATATAGGAGGGGGCTGTAGGTTACAGGGATCAAGGATTGGGCAAGATGACCTTTAGCCTGGGCTTGAGTCCAGGCTTGGCCCTGCACTGGCTGTGTGACCCTAGGCTGGCCATTTCCTTTCTCAGAGTCTTGGTCTGATTTGGCAAAACATAACCACGGGATCTAGTTGACAGAACTGGATTGCTGTGAGAACTGAATGAGTCCTGCCTGGAGCCTGGCACATGGGGAGTGTTTGGGAAATATTCTCTCTGGCTCTGTGGCTGCAAGAAAGATTCAGAAGGCCGAGGTGGGGGTGGGGCACAACCAACCAAGGGCTCCCCAAAATGTAAAAAGCAACTTTGTCTTTATTCCCCTCTTCTGGTCACCTTCCGCAACTTTCCTTTCCCATTCAGTATATGTGCTGCCTAAGCGAGAACTTTCTTTCCCATTCAGAATTGAAATGCATATCTCTTTTGAGCCACGGATCTCGTTCTCCCCCTACTGGCGTCTTCCCTCAAAAGCTGATTTTTGGTCTAGGTATATTGACAGACTAGATGCAGACCTTAAGGATGCAGTTTGATGCATTTTGACAAATGTATATGCCTTTGACCACCCCCCCAGTCAAGACCCAGGCCACTTCACCCCGGCGGTGGCCGCTGTGCTGCTCACAGAAGCTAACCTTTCTGAACAGCCTAACTTGACCCACGGAACGTCCTCCAACTTTCCCTCAACCCCCAAGCTTTTGAGCAGATGTCCAGCACCTGCTGTCTCCCCTGGCTCACCTGCCACCCTCTACTCCCCCGGCCCTCTGGCTTCCGCCCCAGCCCCCCAGCTGCCACACATGAAGGTCGTGCTGACCTCCTCCTGGACAAATTCTCCACTCTATTCTTAGTTGTCAACTGCCTTGACCCTCTGTGGTATTTGGCACCGGGCTGCTTGTCTTGTGGCCAACAACAGGGGTTTCTGCACTCTTTGGCTTCTTGGCCAGGGACATTTTCCCTCCAAGAGTGAGCAGAGAAGCTACAGAAGGAGCATTTTTTTTTTTTAAACTTAGCCAGGCAATAATGGGAAAAATCCCACAGAGCAGTTTGATCCCTGACCCCATCCATACCAACTCTGCGCCATCTCATCGACTGTCCAACCTCAACCACTCTCTGAGATCTGTCCCGTCACCATCTCTATTTTGCAGATGGGCAAATTGACACTTGGAAGTGAAGTTGCTGCCTAGGGCAGTGGTCCTCAATGTCAGGTCTGGGGACCCCAGGGGGGTTCTCTAAGAAGCTTTCAGGGCAGCCACAAACTATTTCCACAATATTACTAAAATGTGTTTGCCTTTGTTACTCTTACTCTCTCACAAGTGTACAGTGGAGTCTTCCAGAGACCGTGTGACACGAGAAGATGTCATTGCTCTGACCGCTGACTCAATGTGTGCTTGCGCATCCTTGGGTTTTAAACATTTTAGGGGCATCTGGCTGGCTCAGTTGGGATAGTATGCAACTCTTAATCTTGGGGTTGTAGGTTCAAGCCCCATGTTGGGTGTGGAGCCTACTTATAAAAAACTATTTTGAGGGGACTGCTTCTCCCTCTGCATATGTCTCTGCCTCCCTCTGTGTCACTCATGAATAAATAAATAAAATCTTTAAAAAAATTAAAAGAACAGAGCAGGGGCGCCTGGGTGGTTCAGTCAGTTAGGCATCTAGCTTCAGCTCAGGTAATGATCTCAGGGTCCTGAGATAAAGCCCCACATCAGGCTCCCTGCTCAATGGGGAGCTTGCTTCTCCCTCTGCCTATGTCTCTGCCTCTCTCTCAGTGTCTCTCATGAATAAAACAAAAACAAAACAAAAACTGTTTTATTATGCTAAGTGAAAGAAATTTGGCATAAAAGGCCATATATTATAGGATCACATGTATATGAAATGTCAAAATAGGCAAATCCATAGAGACAAAAGTGGATTGGTGGTTGCCATACGCTGGGAGCAGGGGAAATGATGAGTAACTGCTGATGGGTACAAGGTTTCTTTTTGGTGTGATGAAAATGTTCTGGAATCAGTAAATGGTGATGATTGCACAAAACAGTGAATATACCACTTTACATTTTTAAAAAAGATTCTTATTTTTAAGTAATCTCTACACCCATTGTGGGGCTCAAACCCACTATCCCAAGATCAAGAATCGCACACTGAGCCAGCTGGTGCCCCACGAACACATTATTTTAAATGGATGAAATTTGTGTTATGTGAATTATATCTTAGTAAAACCCTTTTTAGCATCAGTCTTAATTTCTGATGCAGCAAATATTGATAGGTAGGACTCACATAAATGAAAGTTCTCCAGAATCCGCAGTAACTTTTAAGAAACTGAGACCAAAGAGTTTAAGAACTGCTGGCCAAGTGTTGAAGGGCTGGCAGGTGGCAGTGCCAGGATTTCTCTGGAAGTTGAGGTTTTACCCACCATACTGTATTGTCTCCTCATTAAGGCCAATTTCTTTCTTTTCTTTTCTTTTTTTTTTCAATTTTTTTAAATTTTTATTTATGATAGAGAGAGGAGAGAAGAGAGAGAGAGAGAGAGAGAGAGAGAGAGAGGCGCAGAGACACAGGCAGAGGGAGAAGCAGGCTCCATGCACTGGGAGCCCGACGTGG